ACATGCACCGTTTGTTGGTAATTGTTGAGTTCCAGACATACTTTTTTTTTTTTTTTCGAGATGGTGAGGCATGCCTTTTTGTTGCAAAACTGGATATTTCAGGAAGGACAAGAAGAAGTAGCAGCAATTTTACTCGATCACGGGGCGCATAAAACGCTGCAAACCAAGAAGGGATTTGCGCCGATTCACTTAGCAGCCAAATATGGCAATTTAAAGGTTGCACGGTTGCTTCTGGAGCGTGGCACACCAGTGGATATTGAGGGAAGGAATCAGGTCAGTAATATTTTCTAATTTTCTGATGCTGTCATCTCTATTCGATGAATGTACGAATCACGATTTTGCTTCGTTTTTCATTCCTGATTCTTGCACCCTGTCCATTAAAAACGTCGTTCCCTCTTCTCATGGAAGGATGCTGAAATATTGGGAGGGTGACAAAGAAACGGCTTTTTTCTGTTGTTTTTTTTTGTCTTTGAAAATTATTTGTCTCTAAAATGTCCAGTTCTTTCAGCGCATGATTTATGAGGTGCCTCGTCAGGACCCGGATGCAGACAGCGAAGATACCTTATATTTTTTCCGATTTGCAGTTTCGTATGGGAAGAGGGGCGGGGAAGAGGGGGGGGGACAGGGTGGAGGCTAGGCCACAAAACTGAGTAGAAAGAAAAAGACCATATGCATTGGTACCCAGACTGCTAAACTCCCTGCTTACATAGAGAACTCCATTCATTATCTGACGGTTCTTCACTAATGCTTCACTAGTAATAGCAATTTACCTTGAATTATGTTTGAATTAATAACGCCTGTTGGAGCAGGCACTTGCATAAAACATTAGCAAAATAAGGGTTTTGTACAGGTGACGCCACTACATGTTGCTGCACATTACAACAACGAAAATGTAGCGTTGCTGCTTCTGGAGAATGGCGCATCTGTGCAGGCGACCGCCAAAAATGGTTACACTCCGCTGCATATAGCGGCTAAAAAGAACGAGATGGATATCGCGAGCACCGTTCTCCATTATAAGGTACTGATTCTTAGCTGACCCTGCCGTGAAATTTTTCCTGTTAATTGGAACAGGAATCATTGATTGTGCGCTACAGCGGTGGCTACTGTCATGAAGAATATGGAAAAGTGCATTATCCTTTCTCATTTGGACCGGCATGCAAATGTTGAAGTAATTTGAGACTGATGCACTTTTGTGTGTTGCAGGGCGATACAAATGCTGAGAGTAAGGCAGGCTTTACACCGCTTCACATTGCTGCACAGGAGGGACATCGCGAAATGGCGGCACTGCTCATCGAAAATGGAGCCAAGGTTCGCTGGCCAGAGAATTCTGAATTGCTGATTCGATTGTGTGGCGGGACGCTGAATTACCGTTGTTGGTGTTGCAGGTCAATGCAAAAGCGAAGAACGGCTTAACACCAATGCATCTGTGTGCGCAGGAGGATCGTGTAAATGTTGCGGAGGAGCTGGTGAGGGAGAATGCAGCGATTGATCCGAGGACAAATGCCGGATATACGCCTTTGCATGTTGCCTGCCATTTCGGTAATTGTGGCCTGTGTTACTTGCTTGCGTGGAATAGTTGCAGCGAGCTGTTTGTGTTGCCTTGTACTGCTGCTCTGTTCAGGACAGCTGAAAATGGTTCGTTTTCTGATCGAACATGGCGCTCCTGTCTCAGCAACGACCCTCGCATCCTATACGCCGCTTCATCAGGCTGCTCAGCAAGGTCATAACAACGTTGTGCGTTATCTGCTTGAACATGGCGCCAGTCCGAATGTCCACACTTCG